ATTCCTAGGTATTTTATTCTCTTTGAAGCAATTGTGAATGGGAGTTCACTCATTATTTGGCTCTCTGTTTGTCTGTTATTGGTGTATAGGAATGCTTGTGATTTTTGCACATTGACTTTGTATCCTGAGACTTTGCTGAATTTGCTTATCAGCTTAAGGAGATTTCGGGCTGAGATGATGGGGTGTTCTAAATATACAATCATGTCATCTGCAAACAGGGACAATTTGACTTCCTTGTTTTCTAATTGAATACCCTTTATTTCTTTCTCTTGCCTGATTGCCCTGGCCAGAACTTCCAACACTATGTTGAATAGGAGTGGTGAGAGAGGGCATCCTTGTCTTGTGCTGGTTTTCAAAGGGAATACTTCCAATTCTTGCCCATTCAGTATGATATTGGCTATTGGTTTGTTCTAATTCTGCTAGAATTTTTATAGTTTGAAGTCTTACACTGAAATCTTTCATCTATCTTGAGTCAATGTTTGTATATGGTAAAAGTAAATGTCCAGATTAGGGCTAATTAGGTATCCCAGCACCATTTCTTGAATAGAGAGTCCTTTTCCCATTGTTTTTGTTTTTGTCAGCCTTGTTGAAGATCACACCACAGGTATTAGGCTTTATTTCTGAGTTTCTATTCTGTTTCATTGCTATATGTGTCTGATTTTGTGCCCATACCATGATATTTTGGTGACTACAGCCTTATAATGTAGTTTGAAATTGGCTATTGTGATTCCTATGGCTACGTTCTTTTTTCTTAGGGTTGCTTTGGCTATTCGTGATCTTTTTTGGTTGCATATAACTTTTAGAATAGTTTTTTCTAATTCTGTGAAAAAGGATGTTGGTTTAAATTGCTTTAGGCAGTACAGTTGTTTTAACAATATTGATTCTTCCAATCCATGAGCATGTAATGTTTTTCCATTTATTTATGTTGCTTTTGATTTCTTCCAGCAGTGTTTTATAGTTCTCCTTGTAGAGATCTTTCACCTCCTTGGTTAGCTGTATTCCTAGATATTTCATTTTCTCTGTGGCTATTGTAAATGAGATTGTTCTGATTTGATTCTCAGCCTTCATATTTTTGGTATACAGAAATGATACTGATTTGGTACACTGATTTTGTACCCTGAAACCTTGTTAAAATCATTTATCAGTTCTAGTTGCCTTCTGGCAGTCTTTAGGGCTTTCTAAGTATAGAATCATATCATCAGCAAAGAGAGATGGTTTGACTTCTTTTCCTATGGGAATGCCTTTTATTTCTTTCTATCTCCCGATTGTTCTGGAGAGAATTTCACCACGCCTATACTGAATAGGCGTGGTGAGAGTGGGCATTCTTGTCTTGCTCCAAATCTCAAGGGGAATTCTTCCAGCTTTTGCTCATTCTATATGATGTTAGCTATGGAGTTTTTTTTTTTTAGATGGCTCTTATTATTTTGAGGTTTGTTCCTTTAATGCCTAGTCTGTTGAGAGTTTTAATCATGAACCCTCAGGATTCATGGAGATGTTGGATTTTACCAAAAGCTTTTTCAGCATCTATTGAGGTGATCATATGGCTTTTCTTTTTAATTCTGTTTATGTGATGAATCACATTTGTTGATTTGCAGATGTTCAACCAATCTTGCATGCCAGAAATAGAGCTTTCTTGATTGTGGTGTATTAACTTTTTGATGTGCTGCTGGATTTGTTTGGCTAGTATTTTCTTGAGGATTTTTCCTTCTATGTTCATCAGGGATAATAGATGGAATTTTTTTCTTTTTTTTTTTTTTTTTTTTTTTTTTTTTTTTTGGTATTAAGCTAACTCGCCTACCTTAGTGTGGGTCACATATCTTGGCTTGATAATCCCAAGCTGTGCTCAGAAACCCAGGTAGCACCAGGACATCCTGCAGCTCAGGGTTGGGCTCTGGCTGCACTGTGAGATCTGATGTGCTCCTGGGTTGCTGGGAAAGTACTCACGTGAAGCAAGGCACTCAACTGGGCTGTGGAAGCTGCACAATGCACCTGCTTCCTCTCGTGCAGCTAGGCATAGGACCTGAGAGGAGCCTGCAGGCAGGAGGACTTGCAGAACAGACGTGTCCCAGTCCCACAGGGAAGCCAGCCCTGCTCTCCTCTGGCTTGGCAGTCAGCTGGGGCAAGAGCCTTGAAGAGGGAGACAGGAAGCTCTCAGGGATGGGTATCTATGGCTACCCTCCACTGAAGCTGCCCAGCACACAAAAGCTCCCAGGCTCTGCACTGTCTGAAGGACTGTCTCTGCCTGTTCCCCAGGGAGATCCCCCTGCCAGCTAACACATCTATGGGGGACACGGGGTCTCTTGTAGCTAGGATCCCAGAGGTCCATGACAAGAGTGAGCTGTCCCTCAGTTCCCTTGTTCACCAATTTCCCAGGAGCCATGTGGGGCTGGGAACTAGCCCTGGCATTCAGGTACCACTTGCAAGGTTCACAGATTTCTGCCTCTACGGCCTCAGCTTCAGCTTTGTCTCTCCATACACTCAGCATTTTCTCTCCTAAGATCCAACCAATATATGTTGATTTACTCAATAATTTGGTCTCTTTTAGTGAAAGCAGTGCTTCCTGGCTGCATCTAATTGAACATCTTGTCCCTTCCCATCTGTGTAAAACATTTTTTACACATGCTTTATTTTGACATAATTTTAGCTTTACACAAATGTTGCAAAGATGGCAAAGAATTCCCATATACACCTCACCTCACTTTCCCTTAATGTTACATTTCTCTGGTATATTTTTCAAAATTAAGAAACTAACATTGGTATGTTACTACTACCAAAACTCTAGACTATCTTTGAATTTCAGCAAGGTTTTCTTTAATGTCCTTTTTTTGTTGCAGAATCCTATCCAGGACACTCCATTGCATTTAGTTGTCATGTCTTTCAGTTTCCTGAATCTCTGGTATCTTGTTTTTCATGATGTTGAAAATTCTGAGTACTGCTCAGGTATGTTATAGAATGCACTTCAATCACGGTTTGTCTGATGTTGTCTAATGCTTATGTTATGGGATCCTTGGGGTATCACTTCACCAGCTGAAAACCTCTATGGCTAGTGGCACCTAAGCCTGGGTTTTGCTCAGGCCCACTGGCCCACTCAGCCTGGCAGCTTGTGCTCAGCTCACATTACCAGTCTGGATACTATGCCTGCCAAAGGCAAGCAGAGCAGACAGGGGTGTATGAGCGAGCAAGTGTGGGGTCCAGCCACTGCACACAGCCAGGCATGCTTGCCGTGGCAGGGCTGCAGTTCCTGGCACTGACAGGGGTGCCAGCTCCCTGCAAGTCTGCGGCTGGACCAGGTGTACTGCAAGCAGCTCCCACACCAGGAACCACAGAACCACCCAAAAAGGGTGTCACAGCCCTGGCTCAGGGAGCATCTAGGTCTAGGCTCCCCAAAGGGCTGCAGCTCTTATCTCCTTTATGTCACCTGCAATGAGGTGAGGAAAGGGTATGTTCCAGCCCTGTTTGTGTGACAGCTCTTTCAGCCATGCCATTCAGTGGGTCCCAAGTTCTTGTCCCGCACCCACAGGGTATGCGGATAAGCGGAGGGTGAGTAAGGTGAAGAGGAGTTTTATTGAACAACAGAACAGCTGAGAGGAAACCTGCTCCTCTCCATAGCCAGGGTGTCCTGACTGGTGTTCAGCTCTCAGCAGAGAGGAGACCCTGGAGTGGGTAGTTCCTCTCTTCAGACAGGTCATCCCACAGAGTGTTCAGGTCTCAGCAGAAAAGAGACCCTAGGGTAGGTAATTCCTCTCTGCAGCTGGTTGTCCTGACATCTTTTTGCATCTGGCTGAGTCTGGGAGTTTTTATGGACTTCAGAGGAGAGGAAGTGCATGCTGATTGGTCCTTGCACAGCCATGGACAGGCTTGGAAAAAGCACCCTAAGTTCACACTCCAGTCTGCAAGGCTGGCAGCCCGTCTCCCAGGTTTCCACCCTTCCCTGGGGGTTGAAGGTGGGGCCTCAATGGGGACCTGTCCCTTTCTGCCCAGGAGCCTGTCGGCCTCCTGCCACTGTTGACGGTGCCCCAGGCTGTTCTTGCCAAGGGGCACCTGCAGGCCAGCGCCAAGCTGCCCTCAGCAGCACCCCCTCCAGCCTCCCTCCCTTGCTTACCGGTGCCCAAAGCCCAGAGGGGGCTGAAGTGGCAGAAGACTGGCATGTCAGTACTGCCCCAAGTGTGGGCACATCAGGCCAGGTTGCAACAGCACCTGGACTCAGCCTCAACCGTGCTCTGATATCAGAGCCAGTGCCAGGAGCAGGGAGAGGCCAGACACCAGGAGCAGGCACCTCCAAGCCTACGGGGGCAAAAAGGGCTTTCCCGGGCCCCCAAGAGTGCAGAGATGCCCGGGTCTGCAGCTGCAGCTCGGGCATCTGCAACTGCGCACAAGAGGGCAGGCCTATTACCTGCTCCTGGCACCTAAGAGCACAGGGATGCCCAGGTTTGTAGCCACAGCTTGAGCAGCTGCAGTGCACACAGGAGGGTGGGGCTTCTGTCGGCTCCCGAACCCCAAGCGCACAGGGATGGCCGGGTCCGCAGCCGCTGCTAGGCAACTGCAGCTGAGCCTGGGGAGCACAGGGCTCTTGCCTGCCAACTCTTAAGGGATGGGGGCTTCCGCCTGTTCCCGGCTCCTGCGGGCCCCATCGAGCGCACAGCCCCAACCGCACCTCCCCTACTATAGTCGGCGTCCCGGTTCAGTCGGGCCTCAGCTGCAGTCAATGACACTGGGCCTTTGAATTTTTGGAGAGGAGACCACAGAGGTAAAGTGCCCTTTTTATCCCATCAGAGCAGGGGTTACATAATATCTACATGGCATCACTGATGTGCTGACTTTAATCACTTGGTTAAGGTAGTGTTTGCACTAAATAAAACTTAAACTTACAGCTGTTAGCTTTCAGTACTCTATACCTTGGAAAATAGTCACTGAGTGCAACCTATGCTTAACGAATGAGATCATGAGCTCCACATCTGAAAGTGGGGACTATTAATAGACTAGTAAGGAAGATTTCTCTCTTCGTCTCATTTATGTATTTATTCAGTCATTTATTTGTAACAGTATGGACTCATACTTTTTATACTTCAGGTTATAATCCAGTGACATATTATTTATTTTGTTGTTGAAATTGCTCCAGCTTTCCCCATTGAGAGCTCTTTCATGTTGGCTGCTGGGTCCCTTGGACAGGTCTTCATCCTTTTGTTATCCTTTTCTCTTCAGGGCCCCTCCTTGATTTCTGGTATTACTGGTTCTTCTCCAGGCTTCTCTTACATATTTTCACCAGCCTTAGAAATATCTTAGAATCAGACATTTCCCCAAGGATCTCTGGTTCTTTTCACTGGAAAATGGCATTAGAAAACATTATCTGAATGGGACATGTAGACATTGCTATGAGGGTAACATTGTTTCTAGGCTATTTCACCAGAAAAGGCTAGGCAACATCTGTCCACACAGTAAGCTCTGAACACACATGTATCTGTCATTGTTTCAATATTTGTCCATCTGTGTGTGTGTGTGTGTGTATTTGTGCTTGTGTTTAAACATGAGGTCATAGTAATAACTCTGGCTCTAACACAGTCCCTAATGTCATTCTGGCCTTCCTTTCTTGCTTCTCTGTAACTTCTTATACCAACAGGGAGAAACCTGGATGCCACTGTTCATCTTTAAACATTTTTGTTCAACTAGTATGTATGTGAAGCAATTACAGAATTAGCTGAACCTGCATGAGAAACAAATTTACTATTCAGAATACCATATTTATGCACAGTTACTTTTGTCTATAGTCTGATATTTTTTAACCAAAATATTATTTCTCAAAGTAAGTCAGGTCACTTTTTACTTCTTCTCAACCCTTTTCAGTGTTGTTAGCTTATATATTTATATAAAGTGAGGTTGATTTGTTACCGTCATACCATTCTAATCTTCCCACATCTTGGTGATATTTTTACTTGTTTATTTGCATGCATTTGAGTGCAGTTTTGTGATACACTACTTGGGGATTAATAAATCAAGACAAATGCATCATTTAAAAATTTCCCTTGTGTGTCTTCTTTGTAATCAACTAATCTCCCCTACACTAAGCTCTGAATACCACTAGTGTGTTTCCATCCCAATGGGGTTTTTTTCCCCAGATGTCTTATGAATGAAATCATACAATATTCAGACTTTGAAGTCTGGCTTCATCTATTTAGTAAAACACACTTAACATATATTCATGTTGTTGCATGTATCAGTAGCTCATTCCATCCCACCGGTCAATAGTTTTCATTGATCAATCAATTTCCACACAATCATAGATCATTGTGTGGAAATACCCAAGATTATCTTTCCCCTGTTGAAGGGCATGGGTGGCTTACAGTTTTGAGTAATTATGAATAAAACTGATATAAACATTTGCATGCAGATTTTTACATGGACAAAAGTTTTAATTCACTGGGGTAAATACTTACGAATGTGATTGTTAAGTCATATAGAAAGACTATATGAAACTTCATAAAAATTGCCAAATAGTCAGTGTTTGCGTCACTTTGCATTTCTACTAGCAATCAAAGCGAGTTTCCCCTCACTTTGCATTATTGCTAGCATTTATTATTTTCAGTGCTTTTGTCTCAGTGACAAACAAAATTGTGAGAATTTATTTTTAATCTCATTATATGAGTACTTTCATAATACTCCAATTTTGTTTCTTGGTTTACAAAGCCTTAATATTGACTATGTACCTTTTTATAGGAAAAAATATTGGTATCTTGACTTTCATGTAGATTTTCTTAAATCAGTGAGATTTCCTTCAGTCAACTTAACTGTAAATCAAGTATTACAAGCTTTTTTAAATGTGGGAAATCATGTCTTTGATAAGAATAGGTCAGATTTTTTGTTTTTTTCTCTAAGAATTTTTGTTTTGTGTGTGTGTATCTATCACTTAATGTGTATTTGAAAACTTTCCAATTAACTTTTTCTAATACAAATGATCTATGAAACTCCATTCCATTTTCTCAATACAGTTTAGAAATTACTTGAACATTTGGCTAAATGTTCTGAACCTTACTTTCAAACTACATTTTCTTACTAGAAAAATGCTTAGACAGTGTGGTGATTCGTCAAAGATCTAGAACTAGAAATACCATTTGACCCAGCAATCCCATTACTGGGTATATACCCAAAGGATTATAAATCATGCTACTATAAAGACACATGCACACATATGTTTATTGTGGCACTCACAATAGCAAAGACTTGGAACCCACCCAAATGTCCATCAATAATACACTGGATAAAGAAAATGTGGCACATATACAGCATGGAATACTATGCAGCCATAAAAAAGGATGAGTTCATGTCCTTTGTAGGGACATGGATGAAACTGGAAACCATCATTCTCAGCAAACTATCACAAGGACAGAAAACCAAACACTGCATGTTCTCATTTATAAGTGGGAGTTGAGTAATGAGAAGACTTAGCCACAGGGCGGGGAACATCATACACCAGGGCCTGTTGGCAGGGTGGGGAGCTGGGAGAGGGATACCATTAGGAGATGTACCTAATGTAAATGATGAGTTTCTGGGTGCAACAAATCAACATGGCACATGTACACCTGTGTAACAAACCTGCATGTTGTGCACATGTATCCCAGAACTTAAAGTATAATAAAAAAAGAAATGCTTAATTCACACTGAATATGTTCAGTGTGATTTTTAAAGGCTTCATGATTCAATGTTATTCATATAACCTAATTTCTATTTTATTTCTCACTCCATGAAGAGTCTTTTAAGAGGCCAGGCACAGTGGCTCACACCTGTATTCCCAGCACTTTGTGAGGCCAAAGTAGGAGGGTGACTTGAGGTCAGGAATTTGAAACCAGACTGGGCAACAGGGTGAAACACTGTCTCTACTAAAGATACAAGAATTAGCCAGAATTGGTGGTGCATGCTTGTAATCCCAGCTACTCGGGATGCTGCGGTAGGAGAATCACTTGAAACTGGGAGATGGAGGTTGAAGTGAGCCGAAATTGCACCACTGCACTCCAGCCTGGGTGACAGAGCAAGACTCTGTCTCAAAAAAGAAAAAAAAAAAAAAGTATTTTAAGAAGCATAAACAAATTTCCTCCAATCACCTTTGACTGAACATTGATTGGTACTCGTTCTGATTTGATCCAATTCTAAGTCGCAGCATCCACTTTATCTTCTCCAAGTATAGTAGCGAATATTCATCAATTGTTCACCCAGTTATTTGGTTTGATTTCTTATCACTTAGCATTTAATCCAAGGATATAAATATCTTTTTGCCCAGTGGTAAACTTGTCATCCAACTTGAGTTTCTTTTGCAAACAGGTTAGGCTTTTCTCAAGATTAAAATGCTCATCCAAACCCTTTTTTTTTTCTGTCTTAAGTTGTTTTTTTCCTCTACTAACATAGTTTTAAAGCTATTTTGGCATCAGCTTCTCACTATTTAAAAGACTTCAACACCTCTTCCAGTAACTGAACCCATATTCTAAACCTAGCCATGAATGTAATTCATTCTGAAGTTTAAGGTGTTCTTTTTTTTTTTTCCAGATGACATGTAAATGGCCAATAACCATATGAACAAATGCTAATCATAAGAGAACTTCAAATTAAAACCACAATGAGATATTATCTTATGCCAGTCAAAATGGCCATTCTTAAAAAATAAAAAAAAAATTTAAAAAAAACAAATTTTGCTGAGGGTATAGAGAAAAAGGATTACATACAATGTTGGTGGGGATGTAAATTAGTACAATCTCTATGGGAAACAGTATGGAGACTTTTCAAATAACTGAAAATAGAGCTACCATTTGATTCAGCAATCCCATTACTGGATATCAAACTAAAGTAAACAAATTATTATATCAAAAAGAAACCTGCATGTCTATGTATATCGCAGCACTATTCACAATAGCAAAGTATTAGAATCAACCTGAGTGTCCATCAATGTACTATTGGATTTCTAAAATGTGATTATATATATATATATATATACACTTTAGAATACTCCTTGACAATAAAAAAAAGTCTGAAATCATGTCTTTTTCAGCAATGTGAACGTAACTGGAGGCCATTGGCTTAAGTGAGATAACTCAAAGACAGAAAGCCAAATGCTAGATATTATCAATTATAAGTGAGAGCTAAACAATGGGTACATGTGGATATAGAGTGAAATATAGGCATTGGAGACTCCAAAAGGTGGGAGGTTGGGAAAGGGCTGAGGGATGAAAGACTACCTATTGAGGACAATGTATACTATTTGAATGATGGATACACTGAAAGCTCACACTTCACCACTATGCAATATATCCATGAAACACAACTGCACTTCTATACCCTAAATCTGTAAAAATTCACATTTTCCTTAAACATTCCTTTTTTTCAAAGCATCTATTTTGAATTCAAATTTCCTATACACTTAGAGGATTTGATGCCTTGCTCTAAGGGCAGGACTCCATGACAAATACTTTATATGCTTCATACTCTTTTTTTGTTTAAGAGACAAAGTTTCACTCCTGTTGCCCAGGCTGTAGTATAATGGCGTAATCTTGGCTCACTGCAACCTCTGCCTCCAGGGTTCAAGCGATTCTCCTGCCTCAGCCTCCCAAGTAGCTGGGATTACAGGAACCCGGCACCACGCCTGGCTATTTTTTCGTATTTTTAGTAGAGACGGGATTTCACCACGTTGGCCAGGCTGGTCTCGAACTCCTGACCTCAGGTGAGCCATCTGCCTTGGCCTCCCAAAGTGCTGGGATTACGGGCATGAGCCACCATGCCAATCTCATATTCTTTTTTAATCAGCCTAATTTATTAAAACATTACATTAAGTGCTGGGATTACAGGCATGAGCCACCACGCCAATTTCATATTCTTTTTTAATCAGCCTAATTTATTAAAACATTACATTTGTCTTCAACTACAGAAGAAACTTCTCTGGTAAACTCTTTTTACTCTCTTTACATGAAGTTGGCTTTTATAATTGTGAAATCCAAATACAGCTGCACTTACCACCATCTCCCATGTTAAGCCATAGAACTCTGATGTGAGTCTCGTGTCTCCTTGCAACAGTGACTTGGCCTCAATCAGCTTCTCCAGGACCTGCATAAAGTAATACCTCATAGCAGTAAGCAGGTCCTCCATAGCACCAGCTCTGCCTTTGGTTGCCAAGACACTCTGATGCTACAACAAACCGCAGAGAACACTAGGAGTGTTCTGCTTGGAACCTAAATCTGCACCTAGCAACCAGGACAGAGCATCAGTGGGATGCCAGTGGCGCAGGATAGATGGTGCTTTCTCAACATTTTCACTAAATAGCACATGCAAAACGGGAAAGTACAGGCTTTTGTTGATCCAAGGAGACTGACCACAAAGACTGTATTTCTTCTAGGCACTAATAAGCAACCGTAAAGTATGAGAGAATTAATGTCATTTCATACACGTACACTTCAGGAATTACTAAGAACGTGGCAGTAAAGAACTTACATGTCTATATCAATAGTCAACGTCCTCTTAATGTAGACATGTCTTTCTGAGGCTCTGGTAGATCTAATATTTAAAAATTCAAAGGTTCCTCACCTCAACATTCCATCTTAGGGGTTTTTTTGTTTGTTTGTTTTTGTTTGTTTGTTTGTTTTGGTTAGATGAGGGGGATAAGCATGAGAGAGTTAAATTATTGTCATTAACTCATCAATCGAATTTTCAAATGTAACAACTCATAAAGAATCAAGGTAATTTAGGTTTTGGATTTTTTTTAACTTTTATTTTAGGTTCATGGGTATATGTGCAGGTTTGTTATACGGGTAAACTGTGCCTCACAGAGGTTTGGAGTACAGATCATTTCATCACCCAGGCAATAAGCATGGTACATAATAGGTATTCTTTCTGGTTTTCTTCCTCCTCCCACCCTCCACCGTCAAGTAGACCCAAGTGCATGTGGTTCACCTCCTAGTATCCATATGTTCTTATGTTTAACTCCCACTTATAAGTGAGAACATGCAGTATTTGGCTCTCTTCTAGTTAGTTTGCTTAGGATGATGGCCTGCAGCTCCATCCAGGGTGCTGCAAAGGAAATTATCTCATTCTTTTTACAACTGTATAGTATTCCATGGGGTCTATGTACCACATTTTCTTTACCCAGTCTACTGTTGATGGGCATTTAGGTTGATTTCATGTCTTTGCTGTTGTGAATAGTGCTGCAGTGAACATATCCGTGCATATGTGTTTATGGTAGAATGATTTATATTCCTTTGGGTATATACCCAGTAATGGGATTGCTTGGTCGAAGAGTAGTTCTGGTTTTTTTTTTGGTTTTTTTTTTTTGTTTTTTTTTTTTGAGACGGAGTCTCGCTCTGTCGCCCAGGCTGGAGTGCAGTGGCCAGATCTCAGCTCACTGCAAGCTCCGCCTCCTGGGTTCACGCCATTCTCCTGCCTCAGCCTCCCGAGTAGCTAGGACTACAGGTGCCGCCACCTGGCCCGGCTAGTTTTTTGTATTTTTTAGTAGAGACGGGGTTTCACCGGAGTAGTTCTGTTTTAAGTTCTTGGAGGAATCATTACAACATTTTCCACAATAGCTAAGCTAATTTACATTCCCACCAGCAGTGTATAAGCATTCCCTTTTCTTCATAACCTTGATGTATCTGTTATTAATCATTTGACTTTTTGATAATATCCATTCTGCCTGGTGTGAGATGCTATCTCATTGTGGTTTTGATTTGCATTTCTCTAATAATTAATGATCTTGAGCATTTTTTCATATGCTTGGCCACATGTGTGTCTTCTTTTGGAAAGTGTCTGTTCATGTCTTTTGCCAACTTTTAAATGGTATTGTTTCTTTCTTGAAAATTTGTTTAAGCTCTTTATAGATGCTGGATATTAGACCTTTGTCAAATCCACTGTATTCATATATTTTCTCTCATTTTGTAGGTTGTCTGTTTCCACTGTTGATAGTTTCTTTTACTGTGAGAAGTTCTTTAGCTTAATTAGGCCTCATTTGTCAATTTTTATTTTTGTTGCAATTGCTTTTGGCATCTTCATCATGAAATCTTCGCCAAGTCCTATGTCCAGAATGGTATTTCCTAGGTTATCTGCCAGAGTTTTTATATTAATAGTTTTCATTTTTACATTTAAGTGTTTAATCCATCTTGAGTTGATTTTTATATGTGGTGCAAGGTTGGCGTCCAGTTTTAATCTTCTGCCTGGAGCTAATCACTTATCCCAGCACCGTTTATAAAATGGGGAGTCCTTTCCCTATTGCTTGTTTTTGTCAACTTTGTTGAAGATCATTTGTTTGTAGGTGTATGGCATTATTTCTGGGTTCTCTATTCTATTCCATTGGTCTATATATCTGTTTTTGTTTTGTTTTGTTTTGTTTTTTACCAGTACCATGCTGTTTTGATTACTGTAGCCCTGTAGTATAAGTTGGGTAAGGTGATGCCTCTAGCTTTGTTCTTTTTTCTTAGGATTCCTTGGCTATTAGGCCTCTTTTTCGGTTCCATGCAAATTTTAAAATAGTTTTTTTCTAATTCTGTGAACAATGTCATTGCTAGTTTGATATGAATTGCATTGAATCTATAAATTGCTTTGGACATTGTGGCCATTTTAATGAGTCTTAGTACCCATCAGCAGGAAGTTTTTCCATTTGTTTGTGTCACCGCTGATTTCTTTTAGCAGTCTTTTGTAATTCTCATTGTAGAGACTTTTTACCTTTTAGGTTAGCAGTATTTCTAGGTATTTTATTCTTTTCATGGCAGTGGTGAATGGGATTGCATTCCTGATTTAACCCTCAGCTTGGATGCTGTTGATGTATGGGAATGCTAAATTTTTGTACATTGTTTTTATATCCTGAAACTTTTCTGAAGTTGTTTATCAGATCAAGGAGCTTTTGGGCCAAGACTATGGGGTTTTCTCATACAGATTCATGTCTTTTGCAACCAGGAATAATTTAACTTTGTCTTGTCCTATTTGGATGCCTTTCATTTCTGTCTCTTGCCTGATTGATCTGGCCAGGACTTCCAATACTATGCTGAATAGGAGTGGTGAGAGAGGGCATCAATGTCTTGTGCCAGTTTTCAAGGGGAATGCTTCCAGCTTTTGCCCATTCAGTATGATGTTGGCTGTGGGTTTTTTATATATCGCTCTTATTATTTTGAAGTATGTTCTTTCAATGCCTAGTTTATTGAGGGCTTTTAACATGAAGGCATGTTGAATATTATTGAAAGCCTTTTCTCCATGTATTGAGATAACATGCAGTTTTTGTTTTCATTTATGTTTATGTGATGAATCACATTTATTGATTTGCATATGTTGAACCAATCTTTTGTCTCAGGGATAAAGCCTACTTGATCATGGCAGGCTTTATCCCTGGGATGCAAGGGGTCGTGGTAGGCTTTTTCCCTGGGATGCAAATGATCACACCCTAATCTCTGGAACCTGTGACTATACATTACTTTACATGGCAAAAGGACTTCATAGATGTGATTAAACTCAGAATCTTGAGATGGGGATATTATCTTGGATTAGGCAGGTGGGCTAAAATAATCACCTGTGTCCATATAAGAGGGAGGCTGGAGGTCAGAGAAAAGATACTCTGCTGCTGACTTTAAAGATAGAAGAATGGGCCATAAGCCAAGGAATGTAGGTTACCTCTAGAAGATAGAAAAGGTGAGGAAACAGCTATTTCATCAAAAAGCTAAGAAATTGGGTTTTTATATGCTGTTGGATTTGGTTTGCTAGTATTTTGTTGAGGAGAAACAAGGTAATTTGAAAGATCTTCAAATTTCAAGGATTTACATTCCTGCCAAATGACTCCCCAAACCCATAGCCAGTCACTGTTCTTCAGCATTGCCCACTCTCAAACACAATACAACAACTTTCCATTTCCTGAGAGGGTAAAGAAATGTGGTGTTATAACTCAATAAATATTTGTCAACAATATTACCATCTCTTGGTGTTGTCTATTCCATGCATTTCCAGTGAATTGTTCATTAGGAAACCCCACTACTTTATTCAAAGTTTTGGTCATTTGACCTAAGATAAACAAAGTTATCTACTCCTCCCAAAGATAAGTGTCAGATATGTCAAGATCATCTCAGTTTGCCAACAGTAAGAAAATATTTTAAGAAGTATGGAGATATATAAAAAAGATATATAAGCCAACTGAAAGGGGTCCTCTCTAGCCAAAACACTGATCATTTCAGCATCAAAATCATGACAGAATGAAATAAGAATGCATAAGACCATATTAGGATATATAGATAGACACATAGGTAAATAATACCTGATACACGCACACACACACACACACAGACACACGAACAGAGGAAAGCTATTCCTTCATATCGAATGTCAACTCTATTAGTTTTCCATTGTTGCTAAAACAAATTATTACAAATTTGGTGTTTAAAATAACAAAAATATCTTATATATCTGGAGATAGAAAGACTAAATTGGATCTACAGGCCTGCACATCTTCTGCAGGCTCTAGGAGAGAATATGTTTCCTCAACTACTCCAGCTTCTAGTAGCAACTTATAGTCCATGGCTCATGGCCCATTCCTCTATCTTTAAAGTCAGTAGCAGAATATCTTCTCTCTGACTAAGAACATGGCAGTAAAGAACTTACATGACCTCTTTCTTATATGGACATGTGTGATTATGTCAGCCCACCTGGCTAATACAGGATAATAATCCCAACTCAAGGTTGAGAATTTAATCACATCTATAAAAATCCTTTTGCAGGTTGAAAATTCCAAAATCCAGAACGCCTCTTCTCCTCCAAAGGATCACAACTTCTCACGAGCAAGGGAACAAAACTGGATGGAGAATGAGTTTGATGAATTGACAGAAGTCAGCGTCAGAAGGTGGGTAATAACAAACTGCTCCAAGCTAAAGGAGCATGTTCTAACCCAATGCAAGGAAGCTAAGAATCTTGAAGAAAAGACAGACGAATTCCTAACTAAATTAATCAGTTTAAGAAGAACATAAGTGACCTGATGGAGCTGAAAAACACAACATGAGAACTTCGTGAAGCATACAAAAGTATCAACAGCCGAATTGATCAAGCAGAAGAAAGGATATCAGAGATTGAAATTCAACTTAATGAAATAAAGCATGAAGACAAGATTAGAGAAAAAAGAATGAAAAGGAACAAAGCCTCCAAGAAATATGGGACTATGTGAAAAGACCAAACCTACATTTGATTGGTGTACCTGAAAG